TTTTTTTTTTTTTTTTGCCTTTAGTTTTTCTTAACATTTGTGTAGTTTTCAGTGTATAGGTCTTTCCCATCTTTGTTAGATTTATCCTTACTGTTTTTTGTGCTATTATAAACAGTATTTTCTTTTTCAGGTTTAATTAATTCGCTTTATTTCTCTTGTGTAAGAACACTGTGTGGTGACCATAGCTGGAGCCTGAGTTCTCTGCATGGAGACTCTCTGATGTGGTCAAGATGGTCAGTGAATTCCTGACAGGGAGACTTGGTGAACACAGTCTCTTTCCAGAGTGTCAGGGGGAAGGCAGCTATAGATCTTGGAGATGACATCGAAGATTGCTTTGGCCAAGTTGCCCCAGGTGACATTGCAGCCCCTGGCCGAGGTGTGGCAGCTGTCATCAACACCTGCCATCAGCAGCTTCATGGGCATGGGGGTCTGGGTGTGCAAGGGAAGCAGACCAGCACAGAGTTGCATCATCCTGTCACTTTCAAGTAATCTGTGGGGTGTGCCAGTATTGTTCCCCCAGGGGTCTCCCTGCCCGGGACAATGGAGAGCTTGGCCAGGATGATGGCCCCATGGTTACCTCTTTGGAACACTTAACACCCAGACCTACATGACTGCTATAGTCCTTGATGGCAACAAGTACCTCAAACCTGATCCACTGGCCAGCGCTGGTCTGCTTTTATACAGGCATAAGGGAATGTCTGTGTCTCCAGGAAAAATACATGATCTCAGATGCCTTGATGGGCAGGAAGAAGAGTTCAGTCTCTTTTAAGGACTTGATCTTCATGTCCTTGACCTGGGCAAATACTGATAAATTGTCGGTTGTAAGAGGGGCAAAAGGTTTTTGACAGTTTGTGTTTTACAGAAGTTGTTGTTGTTGTTGTTTTTAATTATTGACCGCCAGTGTCTACCCTCTTCAGCCTTCCAGCATTCTTTCTCAAGTTGTAGGTCGTTGCTGTGGTTTTCAATAAATTGTCCCCTTTGGTCTGACTCTGACAGGTACTGGAGGCGCAGAGAAGGCATCAGAAGGAGAAATCTGGCATCATACCTACCTCACCAACACCCTACACTTACAACAAGGTAGGGGAAGAGATACTTGCCTTCACCCCTCAGGTGTAGCCCCTCTTCTGTGAGGTGTTTGTGGCTCTTTGGGAATGTGGCTAATTCCATTCTTATCCCTTAATAATATTCCTGCCCAAAAAGCTGGCAGCAGCCACACATGCAGAAGAGTACTTGGAATTCAAGTTTTTGTCTGCTGAAATATGAAATAAGGTTCTTAGCAATTGAGGTTTTGTAGCAGGAACCAAGGGCGATGGTTGCCTGTAGGTTATTTATTTGGGTAACTGTGTAGTCCACTGACCACATTTAAAAGACATGGTTGTCTTGCTTTTTTGAGGTGGAGGCCGTTTCTGAGAATGTTCCATGGCCATTCTTTCTTACCCAAAAATACTGAACTTAGAACAGTGTCTGTGACACACAGCATGTGTTCCTGGTACTATCACAGTTCTCAGTCTGTAGTCTAGGCATCAGGATCTCTGCTCTAAAGCACAAGAATATTAGGGCCTTTTAAAACAGGTCCTGGAGTCACTGAGTAGATCAGAAAAAAAAATGATGCTGCTTGGGGACTCATGGCTGAATGTAGATGACAGAGAAGAACTTGGGTGTGGTAAAAAGGCAGTAGGCCAGCTCTTCTTGGGTCCCACACCTTAGAGGGTGCCACGTATTCCTATAGTGTCTGCACACATGTACACACAGACATACGTATGAAAGAACACACAGGGACCTCTGCCACTCATGACCCTGTGCTTCGCACTGTCACTGGCACAGTGTAACCAGAACCTTGAACATCTGCTTTCATGATTAACACTCGTCAGTCCCCAAGTAATTACTGCTCCACATCTTGGTCTTACAGACTCAAAACCACAGGCAGCTCTGCTCTTATGGGGTGACAGTTTGAGGGCTGTGCTGATTACGGCATCAGACTCAGAAACTGCTTCCTGCTTCTTGATGCAGGCAGGAAGTGAGGGGTAGAAGCACTCAGATGACATTGATCCACTTGCTAAAATCTCGGCATGAATGCAGTGAATTCTTGTGTGATATATTATTTTGTGGTGCTGTTTTTTTCTTCTTTTCCTGTTCCATTTTGTAAACCCTGTGGTGCTCATGAACTAGCATGGGATTCATAAAAACTATGCACTGTACATGAGTAGCATGTTGAAATAATAAACAGCTTTTGAATAATAAACATTACTTTTGAACGTGTATAGAAGTTCGTCTAGAGATAATCTTTATATTGGCAACTAAATGAACACTGAATGCTACATTTGCAAATAATATTTTCACAAAAATATATAATAAGATACAATTAAATTTTTAGAAGTTAAACATAACCTCAATTTTATTTTATTTTATTTTTTTTAACGTTTATTTATTTTTGAGACAGAGAGAGACAGAGCATGAACGGGGGTGGGGCAGAGAGAGAGGGAGACACAGAATGGGAAGCAGGCTCCAGACTCTGAGCCATCAGCCCAGAGCCCGACGTGGGGCTCGAACTCACGGACCACGAGATTGTGACCTGAGCTGAAGTTGGACACTTAACCGACTGAGCCACCCAGGCGCCCTATCAACCTCAATTTTAAAAAGTAGTATCAGTTTCCTCATGTGGAAAGGGAGGGATTTGAATTATTTTTAAGATTTCTTTCACTTCTATAATTTTTTAATTATGTTCTATAGCATGGGTCATGCCATCTATGAATACCCATTAGTATGATGCCAAAACATGGGTGGGAGTACCTGAGACACCCCAGTTTCCAAGCTTTTCTCAGCAGGACGCAGCTGTGGTATGGCGAGAGCATGTGGCCTCAGTGGCAGGCTCCCTGGGCTGCCTCTCTCAGGCAGACACTGCTTTTGTCCTGCAATTCAAGACAGGCTTGAATTGGAGCCTCTGAGGACCCAGGTTCTGAGGCAGGTAGAGCTGCATTTAACTAAATTAGGAGTGTTTTATTAATGATCATGTTGTGACTATTGCCCATGAAGGCACCTTAACACCTACAGACAAAGTAGTTCGTGGCAATTTTCTTTCTTTCCAAAGATCTTCCCCAAGAATGGTGTATGGTCTGGCGCATGGGTGCAGTGAGTCATCAAAGGAATGCTTTTAGACCTCCTGTTCTTCCTCTACTGTCTCTTTCTGATCTGTGTCAAACTGCTTTGGGTTTTGATGAAATGACTTGTGCTATATTATAGGGTCAACCTGCCTGTGTCCTAGCTACTTGGTTCCTGTACCCTCAACCTTGCCCAGGTTGACCTAGCACATGTTTCCCAACCAGCTGGTTTATATCTGTTACGTCTGTAGCTGGAGATGAAGTGTCGTACACCTGTACCCAAGGCTCAGCTAGTAGCTTGGGCCTGAGCAATGAAAATAAAATTGACTGTTTATTTCACCCTAGACTGGCCTTGTGTGCTGGTGTGTATATATGTAGCAGTGGTGGCATATAAAACATCTGGAGAGAAAGGTTAGTTCCCTTAAGACTTCCTGAAACTTTTCCAGTCTCTATTAAGTGATTTTTGGAGATACCAGCCTGTGTATTTTAGGGGCTGTCTCTGGGCTGGTCCTGGGGACTTTATTTTGGGGCTGTACCTCTGCTCATAAGTGACTATTTTCTTTTTCCTTTCAGAGCTGTGACCTGTGGTCCCTAGGGGTGATTATCTACGTGATGTTATGTGGATACCCTCCTTTTTACTCCAAACACCACAGCCGGACTATCCCAAAGGATATGCGGAGAAAGATCATGACAGGCAGTTTTGAGTTCCCAGAAGAAGAGTGGAGCCAGATCTCGGAGATGGCCAAAGATGTTGTGAGGAAGTGAGTCCCCATGCTACAGAGTGGGGAGGCCAAGGAGGCCTAAGGTGGTGGAGCACAAGGGAAAAGTCATTGGTTTCCCAGGCATGTTCCTTCCTGTTTGCACATCATAGAATTCTCATCCCTGCGGTCTGAGATGAGAGCTCTGCATTTCCACCTTGATGAAAATGGAGCTTTGCTCCCACCTGCTGCATTCTTAGAATTTGTCCTCAGGGATGTGAACCCAGGTCCCTCGGTAGCTACTGTCTTTGTGAACATTAATTTAGGACCTTAAGTGGTAAGCCCTGTGGTGTGCCCTTCCTGCATGTTAGCCAGTCACGTGGAAAAGACGTGGCATCAGGAACTGAACTCAGGGGCTAAGATGACAATGACACTTTGGCTTTTCATTCTTTGGCTGCTGGGGGTATGCGGCTGATTGTGTAGGCCTCTAGACTCCCCACTGCTGAGATAGATTTAGAAGATTTAGTCCTAGTGAGTGGGTGAGGGAGAGTTGACAGAGTCCTTTGGTAGCTGAAGGACTAGGTAAGAAGTCAGACCTAAATTTGAGGTGTATTTGCCTTTCCTGCCCGCCTGTGTGGGAGGCCCAGTTGCCTGGGATTTGGGCACTCTTCCAGCATTCCTACTGCTTTGTGTTCACTGAGCAATTTTCCCTCTTTTGGTTTCAGTTTCTTCATCTGTAATGCGATGAAGATAGGCATTAACGGGGCAGTGCCCGGGAGCTGTCTCCTGACACCACAGCCATTTCTCTGTGGAGATTACTCCCTTTCAAAAGTGAGCTTATCCCACTGGTTAAGGATCTATGTATATAAAGGGGGACTAGTTTCTAAAATCTGTAAGTAAAACTTCTTAGGAGGGCGGAGGGCAGAGGCAATGTTTACAGCATCATTTGTCTTCCCATGCTGTTTCCACACTGTATTCTCAGCTGCTTAACCAAAACATCAGTATCCTCTAAGTGGTTCTTTGTCAGTTCTGTAGAATATATTTCCTGTCCCTAGAGTGACACTGATTATCTTCTTTCAGCTTCGGGATTCTTTTCTTCCTTTTTCTTTTTTCTTTTCTTTTCTTTTCTTTTCTTTTCTTTTCTTTTCTTTTCTTTTCTTTTCTTTTCTTTTCCTTTCCTTTCCTTTCCTTTCCTTTCCCTTTCCCTTTCCCTTTCCCTTTCCCTTTCCCTTTCCCTTTCCCTTTCCCTTTCCCTTTCCCTTTCCCTTTTTTTCTTTTCCCTATGTTTGTTTGTTTTTGAGGCGGGGGAAGGGGCAAAGTGAGGGGGAGAGAAAAAATCCCTAGCAGGCTCCGCACTATCAATGCAGAGCCCGATGCGGGGCTCACGCCCACAAACCGTGAGATCATACATGACCTGAGCTGAAATCAAGAGTCGGATGCTTAACTGACTAAGCCACCCAGGCGCTCCTTGGATTCTTTTCTAAATAATCCTTTCTTTAGAATCTGAAGCTGTTTGTTCAGAATGACCCAGAGGTTGCAGAGAACCTGAAAGAGCAAGTGCACGTGTTGTCCTGACTCTGACATTTATAGTGGGAGGATACGTAGTTGGAAGGAGGGGCTGTAAAAAGCCTAGGAAACATGCTGAAGTGAGCTAAGAATTGCATCAGCATGAACAGACAAGATGTAAAGAAGTACGATCAAAATGCAGATGGTACATAGCAATACATTCAGCTTAGAAGGAAATGCCTTCCCCTCTCAGAAACTCTAAATTTTTAGCTTTTGAATGTTTTTGGAATAAAGGGTTCATACGGTTACATCTGTCAGTTTTATCACAAGTAGCAACCTGGATTTTCATTACTAAATGACCCTCTTTGTAGCCACTATCAGCCAAAAGAGCACTTTGAGTCCCATTTGGAAATTGGAGCCTGCTGTCCTAAAAAACATGAATGTGGAGATTCAAGTCTCAGGAACTATAAGCTGTATGTGGGCTTATTGAACCTAGAACTCAGTCTGAAGTATCACTGGATTAAGCCTTTTCCTGTGTTTTTTATCTCACTCTGTCTAGTATAGAAAGGACTAGCAAAGGACAACAGTGCCCTCACAACTAGTGGCTAGGGACTAGAACCCCACCCCTTCCTGCAGATGGAAAGCCTAAGCTTGTAGGAGTTTGTAGAAAGTCAGAAGCTGGAGCTGGTAAGAACCAGACCCAGGAACTTCCTGGCCTTCTGGAAGCAACTATGCACAGCACCCTGTTGGCCTTTTCTCCACAGGCTCTTAAAGGTCAAACCAGAGGAAAGACTTACCATCGAGGGCGTGTTGGACCACCCATGGCTCAACTCGACAGAGGCCTTGGATAATGTGCTACCCTCTGCTCAGCTGATGATGGATAAGGTTTTGAATGATGCTTACTTTGTTTACCAAAAAGGCTTTGTTGAGAAGGAATGCTGGGACAAAGTTCAGCGAAGGCTCAAAGCGGAGCAATACAGAGAACTCAGTCTTTACCAGAGAGGTGTCCCTGCTTTCCTGAAAGTCAGGATCTGAAATAAAAACTTCTTTGCATAAAAGACCAGATCAGGGCCCAGTGAATACACACTAAAGGAAAACCCAAATCCTTCATATTTGTGCTGTGGGGTTGAAGGGCACATAGTACTGTGAGACACCCTCCCTTCCCCTGAGGGGTTTAAACAAGACTGGTTGGAAAGACCAATTTACCTGAAACAAGGAGGGAACATTTCAGACATCAGAGCTTTGCATGCTACATTTTCTATGAATGCTGTGGGAATTCAGAAAAAGAGAACATCTTTGAAGGGGTGTAACTAGGGAAGAGTTCCCAAAGAGAAGGCAACCCTCCCATATTTTAATTACTGCATGGCAGTTTTTAACCGGTTCATGGGTTTAGCCATGAGCTGCCTCAAAGAATATGAGCAGACAGCATAAGTACCCAAGTGTGGGGAACACCAGGAGCAAACAATTACAGACCGAAGTGCCTGAGTGGGAAAAATCACCTAGCTTATTAATGGGAAGTCCGGGAGACATGGGCCAGGCTTTGAAAGTACACAGAGGAGCTTAAGTCTTAGTAGCGCATAACTGAGGGGCCTTTGTAAATTTGGGGGGAGATATTTGCCACAGGGAAGGTATTTAGGGATGGTCAGCCAGACTTGCAGACTTGCCAACCTAAGACTTCTGCAGTCATCTGCAAGCTGAGGGGCAACTCTAGGAGCAGAGAAGTAGAGACATGAATAGACTCTATTTTCTGAGACAAATTTCTACAGTTTTTGATGACTTAGTAGATATTAAGGGGACAACGGGTGTCATATCTAGTGATACCATTGACAAATAGAGGGAAATCAGGAACAAAGCTGGTTTAGGTCAAGGCAAGTCTGTTAGATTTTAGATACTGTTTAGATGGACATGTAAATGAATGAGATGTGTTGTGTGGGACTATAGTGTAGTTGAGAGGTAAAGGCAGTGATGCAGACGTGAGTTTTACCCACTTAGAAGGCACGGGGTTGAAGTGTGAGAAAGGGTAAGGGAATAATAGGAAAAAAATTTTCAGTCTTCCCTTAGTTGTGGTGGAGTATGGGAAAGAAAGGGCTGGAAAGAACAGAGTTCTTTGCCATATCTGATTTTGTGTCGTTGTCCTCCTGGTTTAAATATGCCCAGTAGTCCAGAATTGGTTTGATCAGTCCAAAATCCTGAGATAATTTAAATCGGCACATGGGGGTTATAGTGTGGCTTTCCTCAAGATCTTGGGATTGAAGAAATAAGATTGCTTTCTGGAGTTACTTTAGACTTAGTGTATAATGAAGCCAAATAAGGATATGCAGAATCTTCCCAATGAGAAAGAGTGGCCCCTAGGCCTCTAAGGTGGAACTGCAAGGTGACACACCATATATTCCCATTTTTGAAGAAATAATGGGGTCGTGATGTAGGTTGGCTAACTCTGAAGTGCAGAAAAATGGCCACATATATAGATGTTGGATAGTGTCCATCTAAGCCCTGCCTAGGAGATGGAGTCTGAGCTGACAACCTTGAGCTATTCTCGTCTTTTTGATTGGGCCATCACTGATAAGGGTGATGTGAGGATCCAGTGGAGTTTAGCCAAGGCCAGCTATTATAGTTCCCTTAAATGAGTTCAAACTCTACCTGATATAATTGCATGCTTAACAGGGAACTACTTTTTAAAACTATCAAATTTTATTGTTGAAATTCAAATAGTACAGAGGTATATAAAATAAAAAGCATAAATTCCTTTTCATTCCCCTGGCCTCAGTCTCACCCTTCAGAGATGAGGTAATCTATGGCTTAATGTATCCTTACTGATCTTAATTTTGTGGAGACACACACACTCTCACAGTTTGGCCTGTTTAAAAATATAAACATGGGATCATCTTGTTCTTAGAAAGCTTTCTGCTGATTATTTATCTTCCTTAATTGGTCTGCCCATAGTAGGAGCCGGCACTGGTCACAAAGACACAGACTTCAAAAGTTCTAGACTCCATTGACAGTTATTTCTCATTGTAAATTAATTGACTGGCTTATAGATCAGTTTCTGATGATCTACCATGCTTATCGTATGAAGTAGTTGGGGTTCTGAGCCATCAGGGCTGAAATGATTGTCTACACTGTGGGGGCAGTGAATAAATGCCACTACAGGAGACTTCTCAGGCAGCAGCTTACCAGCCTTTCCCCTGATGGCCACGAGTGCCTCTCTTTACACTTGCTCTTGCCAGTGACTGTGAACATAAGTCTTGTTAGCACTTCTTACTTGCATTTCTGTCCACACGCAGGGAAGAAGAGCTAGCTGTTGTATGGCCCTTGGTTTGCCTGGTATTCCCTGGGCTTGCCAATCCGTGGGGAAGAATGCTCTGGCTTATCAAAATTTGTATACTGCCAGCATAACAGTGAAACTACCTTCTTAGTTCTTTGAGCTTCTCCTTCCTACTCTCTTAGATTGGCTCTTTAGGTGCCCTGAAGTGAGTGTGAAAACTGATGACAGTGTTTACATTCAGGCGGTGGTTGCAGGAATCCAGCAGGCTCATGCAGAACAGTTGGCCAACATGAGAATCCAGGATCTGAAAGTCAGCCTCAAACCCCTGCACTCTGTGAACAACCCCATTCTGAGAAAAAGGAAATTACTCGGGTAACTAAGCTTATTTTGTGGATTCTCCATGGTTGGTGTGCCTGAGTGCAGGATTGGGAGAGGTCAGCCAGGGGTCTGCCCTTTTTCTACCTCTTAAGAGGGTGGAAAGGATGGCTTGTTAAATAGCATGAGGAGGTGGAGACACTCTATAGTTAATCATTTATCTGAAAAATGTGCTGCCTTATCTTTAGAGTAAACAGCTGTGGAGAGTTGGTTTTTGAGGTTTCACCTTGTCATTACCTCTCTCCCAAACTTTTAAAGCACCAAGCCAAAGGACGGTGTTTATATCCACGACCGTGAAAATGGAGCCGAGGATTCAAATGTTGCCTTGGAAAAGCTCCGAGATGTGATTGCTCAGTGTATTCTCCCCCAGGCTGGTAAAGGTCACGCCATTTACCAATGTTCCGTGTGTGTGAGTGTGAGTGTGTGTGTGTGCACGTGCTCACATGCACATGACAGAAGGAGTGGTTTAATTTGAGGCTGTCTGTTTCATCTTTGTGTTGTAAGAAAATAATTATATAAATTATTTAAATTTATATAAATTATTATGTAATTTTATATATGTATAAATCTGTGCCCACTAAAAAGAGAAGGCAGTGGGAACTCAGAAAGGTGGTAAGTTTCGTCCCTCTTTTGGTTTTCTGTGAAACTGCTAGTTGACGTCTAATTGCCCGCGTCTAGTGCAGCATGCAGTTTTGTGTTTTCTTAGTTTGTTAACGAGGGCACAGGATAGAAGATGAACGGAAAATGGGGATAGGGTCAGGATCAGCTTGTGAAGGTCAGGAACGTTTCTGGAGCCTTTAGAGTACAAGGCCGTCATTAACTTGTGGATATAAAGAGAATACCTCCCAAGTTCAGAAGTGACCCCTGCTGCTACTTGTATCATGGGCAGAGTGTGACTCATGCATGTCTCCTTTTGAGTGGCAGCTTTCTTTTAATACACTCACTGGGGTGTCATGGACTCTCCTCAGCAGATGAATGAGAGGCTTCAAGTAGTAGACCAGAAAACCATCCAGATTTCTTGGGTTTTAAGAGAACTCCCAGGGTGTACCGTGGCTTCCAAAGTAAGAAATGAGCCTAGGACAAAGAGGTGGTCCCCTCAGCCTTGCTCTCCCTTCGTCGTTTGGTCTCTTAGGTTAACCAGGTATTCTTGCTCAGCAGCAGAGTCTGACTCTGCCTGTTTCCCATACCCCAGTGCTAACACCCTGGGGCCACGAGAGGAGTTGTGTGAGGCTGTCAGAATAAGAGTTCAGAGCCCAGAAGTGGCCTCCATATAAGGTAGGGACTAGTAGTAACAACAGCGTCTGTGAAAGTTTGCCCCTTAACTCACCACTTCTCAACAAGCTGGACATCATGTCCTTCCGTCTCTGACACTTCACATCCCATGATGCCACAGGAAAACGCAACTTCTTCTTCATCTTTATTAATAGGAGAGAATGAAGATGAAAAGCTGAATGAAGTAATGCAGGAGGCTTGGAAGTATAACCGGGAATGCAAACTCCTAAGAGATACTCTGCAAAGCTTCAGTTGGAATGGTAGGAAACTTACTTCTCCCTTTCTCCATGAACGCGGAGAAGTCAGTACATGTGGAACATGGAGGATGTCTGGGGGCTGAGCTGGGGCTGTTTTGAGGGGAAGTGAGGCTAGAAAGTGAGTGGAGTACTCTGGGATGGGGTTAGTCCTGCTTAACTGCACAGGCATGGACGTCCAGCCCTCTCACTTGCTTTCCAGAGTTCAGATGAACTTTGTGCTGCAGATTCCACACTGCAGAGCCCCAGTCTCACACCCCTTGGGTACCTTACTGGATCCCTGTTAACAATTTCACTCCAAACATTTGGAGACTGACCTTTTTTTTTGTGCATTTCAGGTCGTGGATTCACAGATAAAGTGGATCGACTAAAACTGGCAGAAATTGTGAAGCAAGTGATAGAAGAACAAACCATGTCCCATGAATCCCAATAATGATGGCTTCAGACTTTTTTTTTAACAATTTGAAAAATTATTCTTTAATGTATAAAGTAATTTTTATGTAAATTAATAAATCATAATTTCATTTCCACATTACTTAAAGACGCTGTATAGATTTAAATACAGAACTTACTCATAGTATAGTTCATTTGTTTGTAAGAAAAGCTCAGTTCCTAGAGATATACTATTACTCTAGGACTGTTTTCTCATATGTTTGTAAGATGATAGATGGTATTGTCAACAAGATTGTTTTATTTGTAATAAAGTATACAAAAACCATTTGTCAGTGATAGACAAAGGGCCGACGATACTGACCTGTCTGTTCAGTAAACATTTGAATCAAGTACTGTGGAATCTGGGCTCACTCACCCTGTGTATTTGCTTTCTGCACCATCGGTAGATTAGCTCTGGTGCCAAACAGATTTTTGTGGATCCATATTGCAGACTGCCTGCTGGAACCCACAGGATGCCAACTCCCATGATAGAAGAGGCAAGGAGCTGAGGCCTCATTTCTCTTGTCCCTAATTCCTTAGAGAAAAGTGGTAACATTTCTCTTTTTTTGGGGTCAGATCTTTTCAAAGGTATGGGGGGTTTCTTACATCTAACAAGATTTCGAGTTTATTCTTTTCATGTAGAACCAGAGCTTCATTCTGCTCCTCTAAGGTCCTGCTCAGTCCTCTTCCCTTCCCCACAGGCCTCACCAAGCTCTGTTGCTGCTGCTTCCGTTTTTCTGTTTTCCTGGCCCTTTTTATCAGATAATTTTTCTGAGAAAGTTACATATCATGTAAACTAGACTACTGGATTAGCATCTAAAATGGTCCAGTTTTTTCTTCTAAAGCTGCCCTTTTACTCTCTGATATTTCAGCCTGCGCTTCGTGTTGGCATCCCCAGGCTACGTCTATTTCGTTCAGTGCCCTTCATTTTCAGGAAGGGTGGTTTTCGGCCAGAGATCAACTGTTTGAATGGAAAACAAGGCTGGATGCTTTTTTAGTTTTCTGTTGTGCACACGAGCTTCCATAACAAACTGTTATTTGTTTGTGTGTTTGGCAGTTTTTGGCGGGTGCCTGTGTTGGTGAATAGAAGGGCTAACAGGCAAACTCCAATTCACAGAGCAGAAGAAGATGGTCGCAGGTGCAGTTCTTCACTTTTGTCCTGTCACATTCTCTTCGATCAAAATTGACCTCACAGAGCTCACTTCTTTTCTTATGATTTGTCCACTTTGCTGAGCATGTCCTCAGGATGACATTTGGTTAGTATGCATCACATGTATGTGACTGACTGGAAATACATGATAAAAACACAAAGCATCTTATAAGGATTACCTTGTCATATTGGGTAATAGATACTTTTAACGGTAAGGCTCCCTAATCTTAGGTGACTAATAACTGTTGTAAATGGATACCCTGTAAGGAGAATTCAGTGCTTTTAAATACGGCAAAATCGAAGAGTTAGGCAGCAGAGAAAAATAAAATGTTTTCTTATTTATTGACCAGAAGACTTAGCTGAGAGTTGAATTAAGGGTTGAATTAAGTTATTGTTTTTTTAGTGAAATGCAGTCTTACAAATCGCTTACTGCAATCAGGAAAAATGCTGCACTTATTTCTAGAAGAACAGAATGAATGTTCACCTGTTGTTTTTCTCAGGGCAGAGGTATTGGCTGGAGGAAGGAAGGCCATAGTTAACTTTGTTACTCTTTTTTTTTCAGAGTAAATACTGGTATGCCCAGTCTACCATTAACTTCTTGATTTGTTATTAAGGTACCTTCCAAAGGCTCTGGATGATTTTTTTTTTCCTTTAGCATGTGGTGGATTTTAGGCATGATCTAAAAGGACATCTACAATAGTGCTTCCTTTTACTCTAAGCAACAGTTGCCCACATTTTAGTCACACCAGGCCGAATTAATCTGGCCCCCAAAAGAAGTGCTGCGTCCACATATGCCCACATGGGAGAGCTCCATGCTGGAAGCTGGTGAATACCCTGGAGGACAGTCTAGCTGTTGTAATGCAAAAGTGGGTCTTACTTTGGACCCCTGACAGAACAGTAGTTCCCAAAGGACGCAGCACTGTTTGTGGTCTTCAAAGTGGAATTTCGTTTGTGGGGTTTGTAGGCCAGTAGCAAATTCTGTTTTGGTGTGCCAGTCAGGTTTCCTAATAAAGCAAATTTCACATGTAACTGGATGTGAAACAAAATCAGCTTCGTCTCTTCCTACCTCTAAATGCCTCTACCTGCAGGCAGTTCACATTGTAAGAACAGTTCTTGTAGGCAGGAGGTTAGAGTCTCCAGTTTTCCCACATGATTTGCTAACCCTCTGTTTAACCAAAACCATTACTTACCACTCAAATGCCTATAGACTTTAACATAGTTATAAATCTGCTTGATGTAAAACAATTTGTGTATCTTTCCGGTTAAGTGTATAAGCATAGGAAAATACCTGTCAGATACCTGTCTGAAACATAGGAGGATAGCTTTTTAGCTTTTTAAAGCTAGAAATAGGTACGCTTTTTAGGGGCACCTAGCTGGCTCATCAGTGGAGTGTGCCACTCTTGATCCTGTGTGATGAGTTCAAGCCCCACATTGGGCATAGAGCCTACTTAAGAAGTGAAAAAATTTTTTTCTCTAAATAACTTTTTAAGAAGAGTTTGTTGTATTCATGTGAGAAAGAACAAATTGAAGGGATTATTGGTTAAAGAACTCAAATGATCTAAATCAGACCTTGTCTGTGAACACGTATATGTGTATGTATTAAAGAAAATGTGTTTCAATTTAAAAACTGAAAACTTGGATACACTTAGCTTTAATTATATTTCTATTTATTTAAAAAGTAGTAGTGTTCTTTTATTATTGATTTGGTTCTTTTATCCCACAAAATGACTCAATTTGTCCTACATGTTTGGTTAAAATACAGGGAAATACCTTAAATTTGTATTAATTTCCAAATTATATAATTGGAAGAGGCTTTCTTCTCTTATATAAAATAAAAGAAGAAATCTAGCTAGAAATCACCTTACCTTATTTGCTATAAATTTCTTAATATTTGCTAGATGCTAATGATGCCAGATGCTAATGATAAATTTTATCATCTGTATTAGGAATTAAATATAATTGAGGTGACCTGCTCTCCTGCTCACATCTGAGATCCTGTGGTACCGAACCATTCCTTTTGAACTAGATAGGGCATATCTCCATTGTTGAGTGTTAGTTGTAGTCATAACCCTTACTTCAAAGGTTTTATATTGTAAACGTTTGACTTGATATAAAATTATTTATGCAAGATAAAATATGCACGGTCTTATTTTAGTTCATCTTAGAATGCACAGGAGAATAACTATGCAAAGAATGTGGATAGATAGTGCTTTTTCTCCCTTTCGATTTTGTACTGCCAGGAAATTGACACAAAACCAAATCCAAAGACTTACACAGACAGTACAGTTCAATTTTAGTGAAAAGAGTGAAGAAATCTTCAAAAAAATTCTTACAGACTCCAGTTTTTATTTTCTTGGTGAAATGGTAACTAGATACCTACTTAGTTTGTTTTTGTGTTGGGTCTGTTGGGAGGAACTGAATGTTGATCCTCCTCACATATTTCCATGGTAAAACTGAGCTCATTTCATTTGTCACTTAATATGTGCATTAGGAAAACTTCATAGCAGAAAAAAGTATGTTTATATGCAGATATAAAATGTCTAAACTGAATGTGTAATGAACAAAGGCTGACAAAGAAGGCTTGGGCTGCGAAACAGTATCCTGAATGCTACAGAAATGGGGACGGGAGGCTTGGGTAACAGAGAAATTTGTCCTGTTCAGAGATCCCCAAAGGATCCCTGTCCCCTCCCCCCAACCTCCTGCCAGAATGTTGGATTTCAAAGAATGAACAGATTAACGGATATCAGGAGTAGTGTGGCCTGGGTTTGAGAATAAGGATAATTTGCCTGAGTTATAGTACTGGCTGGATCATTACAGTCTGCCCACATGGCATCTCTCTGTGAGGACAAAGGGAACTTACCCAAGGAACGTTAAAGCTACTGCTGTTGGAAGGAAGTCATATGGTAAGGGAACTAGAAAAGGCCAAGAGCAAGTAGAAATACAGTCCCTAAGTCTGTAACCCAAGAGCCGGACAGCAGCCATCCCTAAGGGAGCCAGCCCAGATCTGGGGCTGATACTTGAGTCTCTGAGGCTCAACATGCTAGGCAGAGCTGCTGCTGTAGGACGGAAGCCCTGCAGTGCCAACTGATTCACAATGGCTGTTTCAGTGGCAGCCTCTTTGAGACACCCTGCCTCTATACTGTCATCATGGAAAAACCAAGGGGCCTCGAAAGAGGGTAAGGTAAAGTTTCAGATTTGGGCTCAGCAGAAGAGGAACTTGAGGCTGGGGCAAGTGCCAGAACCCTCGTGTGTCAGATTGGGGATTGTGCTGCTGTTGGTGATTTTCCTGCCAAGCATGTACTGTGACCTGGGATCTGTATATTACTCTTCTTATGAAACAGTCATCCCCAAGAGCCTGACAGTCAAGGGAAGGGAAGACCCAGTGGAAAAGGCATCCTATATGCTCTTAATGCAGGGCCAGAAATGGATGATTCACCTGAAGGCGAAGAGAGACTGTTTTGTGAAGGACTTTCCAGTCTTCAGCTACCACGGTGGCGTCCTGGGGCAAGA